CACAAGAATACTAAAATGAATTGAATTCTCGTATTTTTTTTTATATTTTTGGTATTTAGTGAATTTTTTTTAAAAAAAAATTTACAAATATTATACTTTTTAAGTATATTTATGTTAGGTGTATCTAATTTTTTTTTAAATTGCTTAAAATATTTAAAAAAATCCAGTGAAAACAAAAAAAAATAAAAAACAAAAAAAAAATTAATTTTCTAAAAAATGAATCCTAAATCTTGAAACCAAGCAAGCTAAATATAATTTTTAGGATTGCTAAGAACCCCAACGGAGGAGAATACAAGCCAGCTACTTGCCTCTTAGAAATTAGAGGACTTATGTGTAGGTTTTAATAGATAAATTTATTGTTAAATAGGTCTTATAATAATTAATGGATAATTTTTAGGATTGCTAAGAACCCCAATGGAGGAGAATACAAGCCGCCTACTTACCTCTTAAAAATTAGAAGACTTATGTGTAGGTTTTAATAGATAAGTTTATTATCGAATAAGGCCAAGTTTGGGAAGACTAAATAAGTGTACTTTTTGACTTTTTTTTGTATTATGTGTAGAAAAAGTAGAGAGGAGATGTTGATTGATGTGACCCAAAAAAGATAAAAAGATGAAATAAGTGCACTTTTTTAATTTAGCCAAACTTAGAGTCTTATAATAATTAATGATATTTTTTCATCAAACACTACTAAAAAACGTCACTAATTGTTAATTTTTAATGATAATTGAAAATTTTTCTCACAAAAAATATCTCTAATTATAAGTTTAGCGATAGTTTAAAAAAATTGTCTCAAAAAAAGTCATAGGCTCTGTTTGTTTGTATTCTCAAATCAATTTTCTACGTGTGTTTTGGAGCATGATGTTTGGTTACGTTTTCAAATCAATTTTCTACACTCTCTGCAGAGAACTCTGTGCACACTGGCGTGTTTTCTGTCCAAAGGAAGACCACCCGGATGTCCGGCTGATTTCCCACCCGGATGTCCGGCTGATTTCCAGATTTTATTTATTTATTTATTTATTTAATCGGGAAAAATATTTTCTGAAATTTTTTAAATTTTTTATGTGCTTTAAAATAATTTTGAGTTGTATGTTTAGTTATGAGTTGTAAATTTTTGTATCACATATCAAATGTCACATCAATAATTCCCCACTCAAATCAAACCTCTTTCCCAAAACTATTTTCAAAACTCTTTACCAAATAAATTTTCTACACTCAAATCATAATTCCACAACACACAAACTCAAAATACAACTCATATTCTCAAATCACATTTACAAAACTCTACCAAACGCTACCATAAATTTTGAACTTTCAGCGACAGTTTGAAAATTTTGCCACAAAAAAGTTACTAATTATAAGTTTTAGCAACAATTTATAAAAATCGTGACAAAAAAGGTTACTAATTGTTAATTTTTAACAGCATATTAAGATTTATTTTTAATAAAATTTTATGAAAATTAAGTCAAACTATTAGAATCTATTGATAATTTATCCCAAAAAATAGAGTAATGATATATAAATATAAATAAATTTTGTACAAAATTTTATATATCATGATGTGATTTGTTATTGGATTAATTGATATAAAGTACAATTTAAAAAGGGTGTAAGGCCTTAGATCCGCTTGGTAATTGTTTTTGTTTTTTTGGGTGTACACTCTTTGTGAAATGGCAGTGGCTTTGGTCCAGTTTAAGATCGGACTGAATTGTACTGTTAGTCCTGTGAGAGTTCACCACGGGTCCCATTTTAATAATTCGAACCGTTCAATGTGTAGAACTCGTCGAGTACTATATGCCTGTAAAAAATCACGTTGATCGGATATCGACAGCTATGTGAACAAAACAGTTTTTTATCAACCGTTAATTTTTTCACTGTCCATTTTTTTTATACAAAACTGATTTGATTACGTAGCTATTGATATCCGATTAACGTGATTTTTTACAGGCATATAGTGCTCAACGAGTTCTATACATTGAACGGTTCAGATTAGCAAAACGAGTCCAAAAAAGGGCCTCATGGGCCAGACTGGACGGGTCCAGTCTTGATCTCAACTTAAAACTTATCAATAATTATAATCTATTCTCAGTACGCTTTATACAGTTTGCCTTCGCATTCATCAAGCTTGAAGCTTCGAGTTTGAAACTTGAACTTTGCGTTCGCATTCACCAATCACCATTCATTGTCATCCACCGGTGCTCGCTCATAGAGTGAATCAGGCTCTTTCTCCAAACTTGAAATTGAATGAAAATAGATGGATTTTTCATGACTTTTCATATTACATGCCCATCATGTAAAGGAATTCAAGAAGAGAAACAAATTAACATACTTTTTAATTAAAATATTATATAATAACGTGAACACATCAAGCCTTAATGTTACAAAATAAATAAATAAATAAAAATTCTGAAGTTGGAGAAAGAGAAAGAAAATTCTAGAATTTTTATTCATATATTTATTTGTTTGTTTTGTTTGGTGGGGAATACTGCCACAGAAATCGCATAAATCAATAATGGTGAATAATTGAAACTTGGGTTTTATGTATTTAAAAAAAAAAAAAAACAATTTCGAGCAAAATGAGCCATAAATTTGAGCAAACACATAAATCATTACAGAAATCAATAATGGTGAATAATTGAGCCAAACAAACTCATTTAAAAACAATTTTATGAATTTTTAATTCTTTTTTTTCAGTGAATATCTTAAACATTTTAATAATTTTTTTTAACAATTTAATTAGATTCACTTAATCTAAATATACTTAAAAAAATATATAATTTGTACAAAATCATTGAATACCAAAAACAAAAAAAAAAACAAAAAAAAAATTGTCTTGAAATTTTATAATTTTTTGTATTTAATGAATTTTTGAAAGATTTTTGCATAAATTTTATAATTTTTAAGTATATTTAGATGAACTGAATCTTTCTTTCTTTTTTTTAAATGATTAAAATATTGAAAAATCACATAAAACAAAAAAAATATAGATTAAAAATTCAAAAAACTATTTTTGAAAATTTTAAATCAACAAAGTTGGGTTAACAATTCAAAAAAAAAGTCAATACACCTGATTGTTGTCGGTTATAAAAGTCAAAAATTGGCTAAACTTTTTCAATGAAAAAAAAGAAAACTAAAAATGCACTTAACTTTTCTATAGACTTCAACTTTTTCAAATGGATAAATTATATGAGATTTATTTGAAGTATAAATTATCTTATATAATTTAGAAAATTATAAATATTTTTATGATATAATTTTTTATTTAATAAAATTAATTAAAAAAATAAAATTCATAATTAGTCTCTTATACAATAATAAAATTACTTAAATTATTAATTGAAACATATTTTTAATATCATTAAAAGCTGTTAATTAACTTGATAATTTATTAATAAAATGAACGATTTGTTATGAAATTAGAAACATCATGGGTGGATTGTAATTTTCAAAACTATAAGTGTAATTCGTATTTTAATCAAATTTCAGAGAGCATGTATTTGTAATTTATCTTTTTCAAATTATAAAATAATAATTAAAAAAACACTAAAAAAAAGCCGACCCAAAAGTCTTCAAAGGTGTAGGTTGGGCAATGAGACGTTTAGGGTCTGCAATAGGGAGGGAGCTTCTAAAGAATTTCTTGGTCATTGTAATTTGTATCGCTTCTTCTTCCCCCAACGCAAAGACGGTGAGCCCGGTACTGATTTAGGACGTTCCCCTTTCCTTGTTTTGATTTTTTCACATTCTATTTTCCTTGCACTTTTCTTTAGGAGAAATCTCCAAGAAAGTACAACCTTTTTGGATGAAAATTATAAATATTTGTGATGTGTGTTACATTAATTTGTGATAAAAGTTATGAATAAAAAGTAAAAGTTAACTTGCAGTGCAAAAAAAGTATAGCGTTTGTATTGATAAAAGTTATGTCATTTTATAATTTATATTATGAAATTTTGTAGTGCTATGAAATTCATACCATATGAACCCCTTTCAACATATTAGCATCTCCCTTTCCTATATAAATCTGTTACAGAAAAATTTACAATGTGCACCTGAAAAGAGACATTCTAAGGTCTCATTTGTTTTCAGATAGTTTGATCATAGTGAGCATATTGTTAGTAAGGAGATTAAGTAAAATTGTGTTTGTTTTGATGATAGTTGTTAGTGTAAGAATTGTTAAATTATTTTTATATAAAATAATAAAACAAATAAAAAATATAAAAATTAAACATTAATGCTCAAAAAAAATACCCAATATGAAAAAAATAAAAAAATTTCTAATCCCCTCACTACTTTTCTAATACCACATCACCTCTTCCATCCCAATCCCCCTTCCAACATTTATCTTAATTCCCCCCTCCATCCTAATCCCTTTCCCAACTCTACAAACAAACACAATACTAAATGAGCCCTATCTCTATCCTAATCTCATTCCACCCTCTACACCCCAAAACAAATGGGGCCTAAAGTTATTGTTTTTTTTTTTGTAGTGAAATTTATAAATATTTGTGGCGTGTCATGCCAATTTATAGTAAAACTACTAACAATGAATTTATGATATCCATTCTAATGTAAAAGTTTTTTTTTTTTTTTTCTTGAAAAAACCTTTTTTTTTTTTTTTTTGATAAAAATATTATAATTAATGCTACAAAAATTTGTGATGTTATAAAATGCATACCATACACGTCTTTTTTTTGAGTGCACGTAAGCATCTCACAGCCATTACAAATCCAAAACACAACAGTCTTAGGCTCACTTGACTGGGAAGAAATTTCTCGTCACTTTCCTTTTTTGTTTTTTTTTTTTTTTTTTTTTGAGGAATATTATGTTATTTACAACACGAATTTCTCTGTCACTTATCTATTAGTCAGGTGAAGAAATTTCTATGCACTTGTCTATGTAATAGGTATGTAGTAGGTGTTTTTGTCGTCACTTGATTGGGATGAAATTTCACTACAGCTTCTGTTTGCTTTCTATGGTCTCCGTTGACCTTGACCCTCTTTATTCTTTTTAACTTACTACACTAGCATTACATTTACTAATAGTATAATAGTATAAATACTGATCATATTGTTATAAACTCTCTCACCAATTCTCACTCTCATCGTTTTCTTTTTTTGGTAGTAGATTTCATTTCATTCATATATATTGAAGTTACTTGGGTAAGCTGCTCACAAATGAATCCTACTTGCTACCATAACTCTCTTCTGTCTTGTTTAAATCTGCTAGGAAACTTTGATTTCAGATCTAGAATTGTAATTCCCCTTCTTGTTTTTAATGTTTAAATTGTTGGATGACAGATTCTTTAGTTTGGATTTTCTTGTTCTTCATAAAAATGTATGAGTGGTGTTTTCATATGAACATGATTAGCAATAACTGTAAAGCTCCTTCACCATGTATACTTGAATCTAATTTATGAACTTTGAGTATTTGCCTTGCCTTTCCTGTCAATCAGAGTTTTAAATATCGGCCGTTATGTATCGTATCAGCCATTCCGTTAAGCGATTTTGTTTTTGTAATACTGCTATTCACTGAAATATCGGTTGATATTTTTTTGTTACTCTCTGATATCGGCTGATATATGACTGTATCACCTATACCGATATATATCCTGATACCGCTATTTAAAACCATGTCAATTAAGGTTATGTTTGGATTAATGATTTGAGATGAGATTTGTGCAGGGAAAGGAAAGAGGGAGCGAAAAGTGAATGAAATAGAAGTTAAATTTTTGTCATATTTCCCTTTTCTTTTCTCTCAACAAAAATCACTTCTCAAATTCTAGAACCAAACATAGCCAAAGTGTGCCTCCCCTAGCTTTGGACATTTGTATATCCATTTGTTGGTGCTAGTTCTTGACCATTAAAATGTACAAAAACATCATACTGTGGTATATGTGACTGAAACTAAGAAAAATAAAATTGCATTTTGTCCATTCATGAGAAGAAAAGTGGCTTTTGAAGGCCTGCTTTTGACAAAGAAACACAAAAGAATGTTAGTTTTTAAATCACATTTTTTGTTCTTTTGGATTTTGATGAACTATTTAAATTTGTTGAAGCAGCATACACAAAAGTTTCAACTTAAACATGGGAGGCAATCCGACCAAACTTGATAGCTACCACGGAGGTAGTGCAAGTGGTTATGGGTCTCATTCTTACGCTGAAAGTTGTGTCAATTCTGAAAGGAGGAGGACACATTCAAGGTATACAAGAATTGGTGATGACTACAGTTCTCTTGACCAGGTATTGCCACTATATCTCTCTTAAATTCAACTTAGATGCATACAATTGATAGCAAGTCACAATCTTGCTCTAAGAATATTATTAAATCATAAAAATTTTGAAAACTGGATTGAGTGCAACGAAGACATTAGTTAACAAAACAGAAAACATGCAACAGTTCAGAGGACCAAACAAATATTGATTCTGCTGTAAAGGGTAGAATGCATTAAATTGGGAATTGGGTTCGGAGTTTCCTTTTCTCTCTGTGCTTTTTCAGTAGGTGGCTGAAATTCTCGGTAGCAAAGTATTTTTCCTCTAGGGAAGTAGCTAATGATAATGAAATTTCTGTTAAATTGATTTGATGTTCCAATTTTAGTCTGTTCTCACTCACTGTCTCTAACGCTTTGGTTGGAGGATTTGATGAGTGATTTAGAAAGGAAAAGGGAAAAGTTAGATGAAATGTGAATAAAATATATTTACATTTCACCTAGTTTCACACACTTTTTTCCTTTCTCTTTCCAAATCCCTCTCCAAATTCCCCAACCAAACACAGCATAAGTTTATTACAAATGGAAGAAATACTGGGGCACAGTGCTCTTACTGGTCTTATATTGTCTATTACTGCTTAGGATTAGTGTATTATTACTTTCATTCATCACTAGATTAATGAAGTTATCGAGCTTAGCAATTGAATTTGATACTCATTGCTGCATTGCATAGTCAATATGATATTTTATCCTTGTCCTGTTGTTGGCTCTGAAGATTGAGCTTAGCTAGCAATTTTGTAAATTTAGGATTTAGAACTTGATGCTAAACTTCTAACCATTAACGATAGGTGACAGAAGCTCTTACCCAAGCTGGTTTAGAATCTTCTAATCTCATTGTGGGTATCGATTTCACAAAAAGCAATGAGTGGACAGGTGCACGGTCTTTCGACCGTAAGAGCCTACATCACCTTGGAGATTCTCCAAATCCCTATGAACAAGCAATATCGATCATTGGAAGGACAATTGCTGCTTTTGATGAGGATAACCTTATTCCTTGTTATGGCTTTGGAGACGGTTAGTTTATAGTATAGCTTAATTTATATTCACATAGGATTTTGGAAAAATAGGAGTTTTAATTTGAGGAAACCAAAGCTTAATTAGTTGCATCTTAATTCTATCTTGCAGCAACTACACATGATCAAGAAGTTTTCAGCTTTTATCCAGATGATAAGCCATGCAATGGCTTTGAGGAGGCACTCTCTCGTTATAGAGAATTGGTTCCACAAATTTGTTTATCTGGTTGGTTTAATCAATCGATCGCTTTTCTTGGTTTCATTGTTCATTGCATATTGGATTTTCATTGCATACAATTCTTTTATGATAGGACCGACATCCTTTGCTCCAATGATTGAAACTGCTACTACAATTGTTGATGCTAGCGGTGGTCAATATCATGTTCTTCTGATCATTGCCGATGGACAGGTAAGTTGTGCTAGACATGTCTCAACTGATTTCAAATGTTTCTTCATTTTTCAAAAATAAATTAAAATTTTCCTTTTAATCTCAAGGGAATTGAGTTTTCTATTCTGCTCTTGCAAGCACGTGGGTCTTTTTTCTCATTAAATCTGATACTGATGATTCTGACCTAATATTGAAGGTCACACAAAGTGCTGGCACTAAAATTGGCAAGTTAAGTTCGCAAGAGCAAAATACAATTAATGCCATCGCCAAAGCAAGGTAAAAATGTATTTATATCTAGTGCTCCATGTACTAAGCTACGCATTTTTTCTTCTTCTTTTGATCTGTCCTATTTGTAGTGAATTCCCATTGTCGATAGTTTTGGTTGGTGTTGGTGATGGACCGTGGGACATGATGCAGCAGTTTGATGACAACATTCCTTGTAGGACTTTTGACAATTTTCAGGTTATAAATCAATTCTGAGAATACCCTTAACCTAATCCATATAACTGTTTGTGCTCAATTTTGAATTCAGTGTGTAATGATTTTTATTGTCTGCAGTTTGTGAACTTTACCGAGATTATGTCAAGAAACACCCCAATATCCAAGAAAGAGGCAGCATTTGCCCTGGCGGCATTAATGGAAATACCATCACAGTACAAAGCAACAATAGATCTTCATCTTTTGGGGTAACATATTAGCATATCTAGTTTCAGTTATGTCTTTTCTATACTATCTATCCATCTATACTATTATAAAGAGTACAAGTGACTTGAACATTTCCCTCACAACTTTTTTTATTCCTAAATTACCCTTCTATAACTGTTGATCTCAAACACACCTATGTGCGCGTGCACACCTTCTAGTTGTAGTAAAATTTACTAATAGATAGAATGGTTAATTATTTTTATTGCAGATGCCAGAAAGGAATTCCTGGAAGAATTAGGCTCCCTCCTCCAATCAGGAACTACAAATCAACCAAGAATACTAAAGTTTGTCATACAACTTCTTCTGCTCCTACAGAAAGTAACCCACAAAATAAGGTAGGTCTATTTTGCAAGATCTCATACAATTTTTTCTTTCTTGAGTTTTTACATTATCTTATCTCTCTTTTTATCCTTCTATTTTGCTCCACAGATTTGTCCTGCATGTTTATGGAATAACAAAGATCTTGCCTTTGGATGTGGACATAAGGTAAATAACAAAACACAATATTAAACGAATTTTAAGCTTTTATGGTCTCTTTATTTATTATTTAGGGCAAATAACACGGTAATCCATGTAATTTGGGCATTGTATCATTTTGATCTATACACTTTCAATTGATTTGACTTTGACCCTTAATTTTAGATTTGATGTCAATTTGGTCTAATTGATACTGCTGGTTATGGTTTTTGATGGACAATGACCACTGAGTTTGTTGAGGTTAACTCACTGAGTTGTGCAAGTTTATAATTTTGCCTCTGAAAACACGACACATGCCACTCATGTGCATATTTTTTATAAAAAAAATAAAAATAATAGAAAAATTCTAACAATTGTAATCAATTAGACAATATTGAGGCAAAATCATAAATTTAGATTCAAAATCAAATCAATTAAAATAAAAGAATCAAAATGACATAAATGTAAAAATGATATAAGGACTGCCAATGTAATTTGCTCATTGTTTATTTAATTTTTCCTAATTTTCAACCTCAGTAAATCTTTGGCAGATGTGCAATGATTGTGGGAAGAACCTCAACTTATGCCCGATTTGTCAGACCCGTATAACCACTAGGATAAGGCTTTATTAGTGACAATCTGAGGTCCAGCAGAGCAGCCTATCTACAACGGTGGGCTTGACAGAATGAAGTTTTGTTGGTGCAATGGTCCTTATCCTATTATAAACACTCTCAATTAGTTCTTGGAGTTCTTTTAGGTACAATCTTTTGTGTATAATGAGTGTTTAATCAGAAGACAAGATTTTGGTTTCTTCTGGTTTGATTTGATTTGTTTTTTATCAGGAAAATCTGATGTTGTTTTTGTTAGTAATGTTTAAAGGTAAACGGTTATTGTCTTCCATTCCTATGGTATGCAAATTGTTGGATTTATTTTTCTTTTTTATATTTTTTTTACATCATGACATGAAAGCAAATCATGGTGGTTGTTTGGTGCAGTTTATCGGAGCTGCTTATAACTTTTTTTATTTTAGTAGTATGTGACAGACTATTTGATATAACTTTTGCTAATAGTTTATTAAGCAAACCAAAGCAAATCAAGCCTTAAGTTTTATCAAATGGGGGTTGTATGAATCCTTCTTCTCCACTTGACTTTATCCAATGCCATTTCGTTAGTCAAATTAAGAAGATTCATATCTCTATTTACTACAGTAATCCACGTTAATCAAGATCTACCCATTTCCCTTCCCATAACACTACCATCTACCTTCACTATATCGCATCTCTTCACTACTGCATCTATTGGTCTCCGTTGTATATAACCAAACCATCTCAATCTATTCTCTCTCAACTTATCTTCTATTAGTACTATTTCTACCCATTCTTGAATATACTCATTCTTAACTCTATCTTTTCCAGTCTTGCCACACATCCACCTTAACATCATCATCTCAACAACATTCATCTTATCTATATGTTATTTCTTAGTTGCTCAATATTTCGTCTCATACAACGTCGCTGGTCTAATAGTCATTCTATAGCATTTTCCTTTTGGTCTAATGGGTACTCATTTATCGCACTGTACTCTAGACGTACTCTTTTACTTAAGCCACCTCGCCTTAATTATGTGAACCACGTCTGCTCCAATCTCCCTAGTCGATGTGATAATCGATCCTTAATAACGAAAATATTCACTCTTAGGTAGTTATTGGTTCTCAATCTTCACTTATCCTCTGTTTCCATTGTGACTGTTACTAAAATTACACTCCATATACTCTGTCTTAGTTCTTCTTTCTAAATTCTTTAGATTCAAATGTTTTTTCTAAATCTCCAACTTAGTGTTAACTCATTCTCTAGTCTTATCCACTAACACAATATTATCTGCAAAAAGCATACATCGTGGAGCATCATCCTGAATATTGCGCGTCAACTCATCCATAACTAAAACGAAAAGATAAAGACTTAAGGTTGTTCCTTGGTGTAACCCTATAGTAATTGAAAATTTACTCGTCTCTGTAGTAGTTGATCTAATAGTGGTCACTGCACCTTCATACATATCTCTAATCATATCAATGTAACATTTCGTCACCCATTTCTTCTCTAACACCCACCAAATGATATCTTTAGATACTCTATCATATGTTTTCTCAAGATCGATAAAAAAACCATATGAATGTCTCTTTTCTTTTCTCTATGCTTTTTTTTTACTCTCCTCAAAAGATAAATCGCTTCCATTGTTGACCTACCAGGCATAAACCCAAATTGATTCTCTAACACCTCTGTTATATCTCGCAATTGATGTTCCTTCACTCTCTCTCTCACACACTTTCATTGTGTGACATATTAACTTGATTCTTCTATAATTGGGGCAATTTTGGACATCTCCTTTATTCTTATATATTGGCACTAAAATATTCTTCTTCCATTCCTCTAACATTTTCTTAGTTAACAAAATTTTGCGAAATAACCTAGTCAACCAAACAATCCATTTCTTACCCAAACATTTTCACGCTTCAATAGGTATGTCATCGGGTCCTAAAGCCTTATTCAATTTCATCTTCTTAAATACAAACTTCACTTCAAAGTCCCTAATCCTACGATAGAACTCATAGTCCTGATTTTCCTTATTACTGTCCACTTTCTCCCCTTTTGACTTACTTCCATGTTTCTCATTTAACAACTTCTCAAAATAGTTATTCCACCTCTCCTTAATCTCTTCATCATTCACCAACACCTTAGAGTCATCATCCTTAATGCACTTAACCTGATTAAAATCTCTTATTTTCTTCTCTCTTATCTTAGCAAGTTGGTATATCCGCTTCCCTCCTTTTTTACTATCTAGTCTAATATATAGGTCATCATAGGCTTTCAACTTTGTCTCCCTCATTACTTTTTTGACCTCTTTATTGGTCAATCTGTAACGCTTAAGATTTTCATCAATTCTGTCATTCTGCCACTTTTTAAAGCTTTCTTTTTCGTCTTTATTACCGTTTGGACCTTCTCTCTCCACTACCAAGTTTCCCTAAAGTTGGGTTCTTTTCCTTTCGACTCTCCAAGAACTTCCCTTGAGATTCTCCTCATACAACTAGCCATCAAGTTCCACATAGTGTTAGAATTATCTTCTAAGTGCCAAGTACCTTCTTTATCAATTATATTCTTAAATGTGTCTAGTTTATCCCCTTTTAGGTTTCACCATCTAGTCATGTGATGCCTACTATCTTTCCGAACTTGATATTGTCCTTTAAAGCATAAATCTAGTAGCAAAATTCTATGTTGAGACGTCAAACTCTCTATAGGAATCACCTTACAGTCGCTGTATTTTAGATGATCCCATTTTCTTACTAGAAAGTAATCTATTTGGCTCCTAATTGATCTACTCTTGAAAGTTATCAAATGCCCATCTCTCTTCTTATACATAATATTGGCCACCACTAGGTCACTTAAATAAATTGAAAACAATTGATTTCTGAAAGTTGGGTGAGAGATGTTTTTAACTTTTACTTTTGAATTATCAACTTCTAACTTACAATAAATTACACTAAATAACACTGTCATTTTTTGGGAGCCTCTATTTACACACCACCATTTCTCTCATCCCACAACATTTCTTAATTCACACCACACAAAACAAAAAAACAAAACAAAACAAAACAAAACAAATAATCTCTCAATTCACATCACCAAATTCCTAAAATATCCTCATCTTCATCATTCTTCTACCAAGCCAAACCCTAAACTACCACCACCTCCATCGCCGGCGCTGGAGCCAGAGCCAGAGCTAGAGCTAGAGCCATAACCCTAACACCGTTGGCTGCCTTCTTCTCCAGCGGCCCCCTCTTCTCAACCACTATTCTGCTCGTGCTACCACATTTTCCTCCTCAGCCTTTCGTCGTAGCCCTTTTTCCGGCCACTTCTCTCAATTCACATCACCAAATTCTTAAAATATCCTCGTCTTCATCATTCTTCTACCAACCCTAACCCTAAACTACCACCACCTCCATCACCGACGCCGGAGCCGGAGCCAGAGCCAGAGCCATAACCCTAACACCGTCGGCTACCTTCTTCTCCAGCGAACCCCTCTCCCTAGCCACTATTCCTCTCGTGCCACCACCTTTTCCTCCTCTGCCTTTCGTCGTAGCCCTTTGTCTGGTCACCGCTCCCTCCTATCACCACTTCTCTTCCGCAACCCCCTCTCTCGTTGTCATTCTCTCCTAATGTTCTCTATCTCTGGTAACACGATATGCATTACGACGATGTGGGTTATGATGGTGGTGTGGTGGTGGGGAAACAGGACTGGGGGTCTCCGATAGGGGCTAGGAGGCTATAATGGTGGCCTGAGAGGAAAGTCATCGTCGTGGTGACGCAAAGACAACATGCAGAGGTGGGAAACCGATGACATCAACCTTTTCAGTTACTGTAGCCTCCATAGCCAGCCTTCTCTTATCTTTTCTTCTTTTTCAAGTGGATCTTGGTCTTTCTGTCTACTGGTAATGGTGGTGGCTAGTGGTGGAGATCAAAAGGGATAAAGGAGGTGCTGCTAGTATGGGAGAAGTTTCGGGTCTTGTTTGCCCCCACCGCCACCGCCACCTGGGGTTTGTAGCGGCAGAAAATGGTTTCGGAGGTTTAAGTTGGTTTGAATTGTCCACTTTGGTAATTTTGTTGAGAGGCAAAATAATAATTAAAAAAAAATTAAAAATGGTACGAGATAAGAGAAATGGTGGTAAATGTAGATAGAAGCTAATTTGTTTTGAATCCGCTGGGAAACTTTCCAACACTCCCTCCCTACCTCAAGTGTCATTTTTCCGTGCTCCTACTAACTTTTGTGGGGTCCCTTCAGCTGCAAGAACAGTGACTTGGCATATTTTTCAGTAGACACGTGGCCTCAAAATGTTGGACAAAAAAAAGAAGATTGAATCAAACCAGAGGTCTCAAAACCTTATTACTCCTGCCTCCGTAGATTTATTATCTAATAGGTTTTATAAAAAAAATTATCATAAAAAGATTACTATTTGTAAGTTTTAATAATAATTTATAAAAATTATGATAAAAAAATTTACTAATTGTCAATTTTTAGCGATATATATATAAAATTATCACAACAAAATTATTTTTAGCGATAATTTTACTAAGGCTTATTTTCAATAAGACTTGATGAGAATTAAGTCTAATTATTAGGATCTATTCGTAGTTTACCCATTTAATAAAGGATTGTTTTGAAAAGTTAGTTAAAATTTGGTTTTTTGATTTTTTGGATTTTTTTTTTTTTTGAAAAAATTTATAAAAAAAAAAAGTAGAAAGATAATGTGGCTCAAAATAAGTTAAAAATTAAAAATTGACTTTAATTATGTTCCTAAATTGGCCCAAAGTAAGAGTTATGTTAGGATTTTTAAATAATTTATTAATTATTTTATTAAATCTCTTACATAAGTATGAGACCCATATATATGTAAATTTATCGGAGACATACATATGAAAATTTTAATAAATTATTTAGGACTCATAATAGTTTTCATAAAGTAATGCCAAAAATATAAAATGATTTATCAAATTTTTCTTCAACAGACGTCAAATAAAAAAGGAGGGTTTGTCCACCCCAGCGCCACTTGTGCTGGTTTTTAGTTCACCTTCTGCCTGCATTGAAATGATTTTGTGGAGCATTTTCTAGTTCATCACAATGAGATGAAATATAATGAAATATTCGTAAATTGTTTTGTGAAATAATTATTCTGTTATAATAATAAATAATAATTTTATTTCTGATGTAATTTTATTTGTTATAATGGTGAATAATAATGGATATTTTGATAAAATCATCACTCTATTTCAATCTATTTTAGTAAATCAAATGGTAGTTTTTTTTTTTTTTTTTTAACCAAGGCTTTTGGCATAGTGGTTCTGTAATTTTCCTTGCGGTGTTAGGTTTCGGGTTTAACTCCTATAAAGAGA